TAGATGCCAGTACCACTTTATAGGCGTTTATTTCCAAACCCAGCGCTTCCATGATACACTTTTACACAGCCGGGGTGGGGAGGGGGGTGCGCGGGCATCTCCCTGCTCCCTGCCCACAGAATCGGGAGATGGAGAGGGGGAAAAAAAAAACCCAAAAAAGAAACAACCAAACCCCCCAAAGAAACAAACCCAAATCCAAGGAGGATGCTCCCCAGAGCCCAGGCCACAGCACTGCAATCAGGGACCAAGCCACAAACTGACTCCTGCTCCTTGACTGGCCCAGCTCTGTGGGGACAGCCGCTAGCTCCGTTTTTCTCTTCTTTTTTGGCACTTGTCACTTGCTCTCCGTTTGGCATCAACACAAAGCACCCTTGTGCCCAACCTGGCGGAAAAGCGGGCCCTACAGCACAGCAGGGACAGGACATGGGTACCCACCGGGGTGCCAAACAGGTAACACGGTGCTGGCTGAGGCACAGCCCAGGGCTCTGGTGCTGTGCAGCCAGAGAGAAACATGTAAACGAGTTTGTTCGCAAAGGCGAAGACGGGCAGCATGGAGGGACCCAGCTGTTCCCTGCACATGGGGCCAGCAGAATGCTGGCCAAACGGCATGTAAACATGTCAGCAGGCCCTTCCCTCCCCATCCCTGGGAGAAGGGCAGCAGCGAGCCTGCCTTGTCAGGGCTGCGCTGGGGGCAGGCAGCCCTCACCACTCCCACAGCACCCCCGTCACCCAGCCCCTCTGTCCCCTCCATGTCCTCTACGCTGACTTGGGGATGTAGCTGAGAGGCCTTGGCCTCCCCAGAGGCCTGGAGGACAGCGGCACAAGTCCTCTCCTGTAAACACGTCAGGCTGGGCTGCAGTAAGAGGCTACAGCAGCGTGGTAGTAAGGCAGTAAGGAGCGTGCTGTCACGCAGCCCCGAGAGCATCACAGGGGCAGCCGAGCAGAGGCACTGTGCTCTGCAGGTGAAAGGGAGCGTGCCGGCCCCCCGAGCCAGCTGCCCCTGGCCCGAGGCTGGGGTAGGCACAGAGGAGTGTTGCCTCATGGCAGGGCCAGTGGGAGCCCAGGGCCAGGCCCCTGGCTGAGCAGGGAAACCATCAGGGCGGCCTGAATTTCCAGAGAGAGCAAAGTGCTGTTTATCCCCATCTCCCAAAATCCAGGCCACTCTGAGCTGGGGTCCTGTGCCAGCCAGAGAGCACAGGGATGCGTGCCTATGTACACAGAACCTGCAGGGAACCAGCTAGATACAACTTTTGTGGGCAGTGCTGGACCCTGAGACTGGAGCCACATCATGTTCCTGCAGATGCTAATCCTCCGCAGGGCGAGCGCTGGCTCTGGGAACGGCCCAGCCTGCTGCTGAGCAGGGTTAGGGTCATCCAGCTCCTTGCTTGGACCCACAAAGCAACAGAGGTTTGCTCTGGAACACGCAGGTTAAAGAGCACAACATACAGTGGGTAAAAACATAGCGCTCATTTGCTGAGCAGAGGAAACCAGCGCTTACAGGAGTGGGACCATGCTGGTACAGCACAGGACTGAACAGCAAAGCTTGTTTCCTCCCCGAGCGGGTCCCTAGTGCCAAATTTGCTGCCCGACTCGTTTGTGCTCTCACTGGCACACAGCCCCAGCTCATGGACCGGGGGCAGCCCCGAAGTGGGTCCAATGGGAGGGCAGAGGAGGGCCTGGCTGCACAGGGCCAGCACGGCTGCAGGGGACTGAGGGACGCCAGGCAGGAGGACGGCACCGAGACACGTGTGGAGCTGCACGGTGGGAGGGCAAGAGGGGCAGTGGGGCCAGCTGCCCTGCAATGGGGATGGGACAGAGCGGTGCTGACAAAGCCATGAGGGCTGCCTGGCAGTGTCCCTCTGGCCCACCAGGATCATGGTTCCCGGTACCTCCAGGGAAGCCAACAAAGGGCTGTTGGTGAGAAAAATGCTCCAGGTCCTGGGAACAGACCATCCGTAAAAATAACCATAGAAATTTCTCTTCTCTCTGATTACAAAGATACAAAAAGGTAGAAAACCCTCCCCTGCTCCCACGTCCTGGGCTCCGTTTCCATCCCCCTGCCCCTGCCCACCCTCCGCGCACACACACGCACACCCTGCATACGAACGGGTCGCAGAGGAAGAGCTCGGCCCCGGGGGGTTGGAGGAGCCACCCTTCCCCGAGCAGGCTCCTGCTGTACCTGTCACACCGGGCTGGCGACGTGGAGCACGGTGGCAGCCGAGAGCCTGGAGGCTCCTGGCAGCGGGTGGAGCGCGCTGCCGGCCCCTCAGCCCAGAGGGCAGGGGAAGGTAGGGTTGGTTTTGGGCCTCTGACCACCATCAGTTCTGGCCGCTGCCCCCTGGGGACACCAAACCTCAGCTGGCAGCGCCTGGCTAGGCGAAGGGCCCTGCTTCTTCTGTGTCTCTTGTGGACAGCTTCGGACCCTCAGGAATGGCCCTCGTTTCTCATTATCCTTCTCGAAAGAAAGAAAAACAGCGTTAAGCCGTGGCATCTCCCCTGGGCTCCAGCTGCCTCTCCCAGCTACGCCAGATGGGGACAGGGCAGAAACCCACTCGTGTCTCAGGGCAGGAACAACTGCCTCCAAGTCCCTGAGTTCAGGGAAGAGGAAGGGAGGGATGGGAGCAGCATCAGCAGGGAGCAGAGTTGGAGCAGAAGTGACAGACTGGGACAGTCTGGGGAGAAACGTGGCTGGGGCAGGCAGGGCTCCTGTAGGACTTGGGCCCCCTCCTCCTCTCCAGCCAGCCTGGCCCTCGCACACATCTGCTCGTTGGGACTTACAGCCAGCACTGAGCAAGGGGACCAGCCATGAGGTCAGCCTGGCTGCACAAAGCATCTTCCCTGAGCCCCCACAGGCCACAAGTGAGGGCCATCACTTCTGGCAGAGCGAGCAGACTCAGCTACACTGATGTTTCTGCTTGTGCTGCACTGCAAGCATCTGGACCTGTCGCATCCAAGGGTTCTCCCTCCCTGGTCACTTACTCAAGACCAGGAGACACCCACCTCTCACCCCAGGGGCTCACCCTTACACAGCCCTCTCCCCCCAAACCAAACCCCCTTCGGGAAGAGGCCAGGCAGGCGGACGATGCACAAGACCAGCTGAACAAGGCCTGGCTGAGGAAGGGGCACACTTACTCTGAGTCTGGCGACAGCTCCGAAATGCTGTGGGAGGTGGCAGAGCGAGGTGTTGAGGGGCACATTGCGGAGGGCGTCGAGGAGGTCTGCACGGCAGAGGGGGTGGTGGTGGTCTGGGGGCCTGAAGGCGTGCTGGACGATTGCACCGAGGACAGGACAGAGGAGTTAAAAGAAGCAAGGATGGAAGAAAGGATATCTAACTGTTCAGTGGAAGGATGTCGGCTGGGAACGGCCTCCAGGTTCTCTCTAGAAGGCTGTCTCCTTGACAGCGGCTCTAGGCTTTCCCTAGACAGCTGCCTCCTAGAGAGTGTCCCCAGGTTGTCCTGCGACGGATGCCTGCTAGGCACTGTGTCCAGAGGCTCTCTGGAATTAGATCTTCTGGAGAGAAATTCCAGCTGCTCCCTTGAAGTTTGTCTAGCCGATGCTAGCTGGTCCCTTGAAGGCTGTCTTCTAGAAAGCAAATTCAATTGTTCTCGAGAAGTATCTCGACTTGGCAACGTGCCTATTCGGTCTCTGGACACTTGCCTACTTGGCAATGTATTTAGCCACTCCCTAGAGGCCTCTCTTACTGGCCCACAGTCTAGCTGTTCTCTTGACCCAAATCTGCAGGGTAAAGTGTCAAGGTGGTCTCTGGAACCCTGCCTCCGGGGCAGTGTGTTCCCATGATCTCTCTGACTGGGCCTAGGAACCAGTAGATCCAAGTTTTCCCTAGACCCGTGTCTGCTCGGGATACTTTCCAGGTGTTCGGTTGACCCATGCCTGCTGGGGATAGTGTCCAGCTCCTCCCTGGACCCGTGCCGGCTGGGCACGGCTTCCAAGCACTCTCCTGAGTTGTGTCTGCTCAGCTGCTCCCGGGACATCTGTCTCCTCATCAGCATGTCAAGCTGTTCCCGTGACGAGTACCGGCTGGCTGGTTGCGACAGACTGCCCGCTCCAGAGTAGATCCTGCCGTAGGAGGCGGCGGGGACAGCCCTGTGACCCAGCGTGGAGGTCTTGTACCATGTCAGCTCATTGGTCATCCTGCCAACAGATGGCAAGCCTTGGAGAGTCGGAGGGTACTGGAGGCGGTTCTTCAAAATCCCTGCACCGGACAGAAAGAGAAGTCAAATTTTTCCGTAAGAGTGAAAAGAGCATGAAAGCTGGGAGAGGTAAGCCATACCTCCCCAAGGACACAAGAAGATGGAACTGATGCTGAGCCCTCAAGGCCACGTCAACCCGAGACAGGCCAGGCTACCCTCGCCTGCTTGGTCCAGGCCATTACCTTTTCTTTGCCGCTGGGTCTGGGTGAGGGAGTTCTCGTCCCCACTGGTCAAGGCCAGGTCTGGCTGATTATTGTTGGCCGCATCCTTGTTGATGTCAAATCCCAGCTTCCGCTCGGAGCCCCACTTCTGCAGGGAGCAGGGGTGAACCTCGCACTCACCCAGAGCTGGCCAGTATGACATGAGGTCATTGCCATCCACATCTGGCGAAGGACACAGCAAAACAGGCCCCGGGGAAGAGGAAGAGAGTATTTCTGTGAGCAGCAATTGCAGCCATCACAAGACACAGCCTGTCCCCCAGGGACCTGAGCTCACCCTGTCCCCTGCCAGAGCCCCTGGGACTTGCCTTTGGGAGTGGTGTTGGCGGGGTTAGTGAGGAGGCGTTCACTGTGTGCTGCCCGCTTGAACTGGCGCTGGAAGCGGCCCCGCAGGCGCACGTTCTCCTCGCTCTCTGAAGACGGAATGGAGAGGCTGCGCTCTTCGTCCAGAGACAGGTCACTGTCTGAGTCCGAGTCCTGGTCTGGAGGGACACAGTGTGTGTCGGGGAGACATTTAGAATGAAGGTGGGTGAGGCTTTTCAGCCCAAATGAGGAAGGACAGACTCATGCCTGCGAGCATGTGCCAGTTAAATGACCAAAGCACCAAATAACAGAGGCAGGGAGGGACCCAGTGGTCTCTGCTCTGACCCCTGCCCAGGGCAGGGCCAGCTGGGCTCTGACTGCCTCCGGAAGGCAGAACCACCCCAGGGCTGACCACCCTCATGAGGACAACAGCCTGCCTTACCCCTCACTGCCCTTCCCTTGGCAGCAGCCTGTACCTGCTCCTCCTGCCCTTTCACCAGGTGCCTGTGAGAGGAGCCTGGCTCCATCTCGCTGCACCTCCCTGTAAGGCTGCAAGATCCCCTCTGCCTCCTCTTCCTCCAGGCTGAGCAAACCCACCTCCCTCAGCCTCTGCTTGCCTGTCCCATGCCCCAGCCCCAGCCCCAGCCACGAGTGTGGCCCCCCCACCAGTGGGTCAGTGCCTGTGCTGTACTGGGGAGCCCAGTGTCCCCACAGACCCCGTGACAGCCTATGCCCCCCGCCTTGCCTCCTCCATTTCTAGCTCCTTGGAGACTGGCTATGCCCTTTGCTGTCTGTCCAGGAGGAGGCTGCGCTATGCAACACAGCTGTTGCCTCTCCTTCATACCCACAGTGTGTTTGGGAGTCACAGCCGAACACGGGGTGGAGGATGTAACCGTACAGCCAGAGCCTGCACCAGGAAGGATTTCCTCAAGCCATAATTCAGGATGCGCTGGGTCAGCCCCAAACCCGGGCACTGGGCTGAGCCTTACCTCCCCCGGCATCACGGTGGAACATGGCAACATCGATGTCCGTGGGGCCGGCGTGAGCCAGCAGGCTGTGATCCAGGGCCGAGCCCTGACGCGCCGTCACATTGTCTCTGAAAGACAGGAGGCCCCAGCGGTGACAGTGGCAGGAGCCCTCGGCTCTGCATGGGTGCTCCCGGCACCCCGGAGCCCCGCACTGCTCCCTACCTGAGGTAAGCCCGCTGGCTGGAGTGGGTGCGGGCAGAGCGCACGCTGCTTACTGACGAGATGGTGGAGGCCCCCAGGGTGATGCGGATGAGCCCGCTCTCCTCAAACAGCGCTGTGTTGTTGTAGGCGCTGGGGCCCTGGCAAGGTGGGGAGAAAGGCACATGCCCTGTTAAAGAGGCACGGCAGCAGCCCAGGGGATAGCCTTCCCACCTGCATCTGCCTTCCCTCTGGGGAAGCAGGGACGTCCCCGTCAGCTCCTGTCCCAAGGTAGGCAGCCTGTCCCCAGACCCCTGGGCTGCTCCTGCTCTCACCCACCTGCGTGCTCCTCGTGGCCTCCTCGCTCTGCCCCTTCTTGCCGAGGCAGGCCAGCTTCCAGGCCTCCCGCACCTCCTCGTTCAGCATGCAGAACAGGACCAGCACAGCCAAGCCCTGCAGGGAGAGACGCCATGAGACGGCCCCTTGCTGCTGGTCAACCTGCTCACCTGCAGCATCAGATCCCGGCCACTTCCTGGCTCCTCCAGAGCCCAGCGTGTTGGCCCTGGTGGCCACCAGGACAGGGACGCACCAAAGAGCCCCTCGACACTGATCAGTGCTAACCCCCATGGTGGCCATGGGTGAGGGAGGAAAGGGTGGGGTGTCCCCTGGCTGGTAGCAGCCAACGAGCGGCTGGAAATAGCAACACCAGCCATGGTGGTGGCAGAAGGTCTGCAGGGTGCTGCCATGGGTCACATTTGGGGTGTCCAACACCTCTGTTGCAGGCTACTCTCTTCCTCTGCTCTCCGAGAGCAGGGAGGCCCCTTCCCTCCAAAGACGGTCCTTGCTGCCCCTTGGACATCACCTCTGAACCAAGCACCTTGCAGCCATCTCCTGCTCTGTGCCACCGCTCACCACGGGCACAGCAGCAAGGACTGGTAGGAGCCACTCACTGCCACAGCGGTGACAGTGGAAGGGACAAGGAGCCCAGTGGGATGCTGGGGGCTCAGTGTGGGGTGCCCACTCTCCACAGACGGCTGTGGGGACCACAGCGATGCTCTCCTGGGCTGACCTGTGCCCTCCCCTGGCAGAGGCCGGGCAGTTACCTGGAGGCTGCAGAGGACAGTGTAGAGGTAGTGGAAAGCCAGGACACTGTTGTTGACAGCCAAGAGGCCAAAAAGCCAGGTAGTGCTAATAACTAGAAGCAGAACAAAGGAGCTCCGTAACGTCATGCTGGAGAGAGAGAGAGAGACAGACAGACAGGCACACAGACACACACCAAGAGGTTAGTGCGTGTTGTTAATCTACAGGCTAGTGCTCACAGACAGTGATCCAGAGGGGGAAGCCTGCTCCTGCCCAGCCCTCCCTGCCGCACCCAGCACTGCGGGCTCATCTCTGTGCAGCGGTTTGGTTCCTCCCGACTCCCGGGGCCTTCCCTTCTGGATCACACAGAGCAAACACATGGGCCCAAACAACACAGGTCATTTGGAGCCACAGAGAGCCGAGCCAAGCTCCAGGGCTGGCCCAGCATGGAGCAGGGAAAGGTCTCAGAAGGAGCATGTAGGAGAAGAAAAAGCAGGTGCTGAGAGTCAACAAGGGCAGAATGTTGAACCTAAGGAGGCACAAGGGGTGGCTGTGAGGGCAGGTGGTGAAGTGGGACAGGCTGGTGGGACAGTGTGGAGATGGGAACGTAGGAACAAGAGGAAAGGACAAAGTTTAGGAAGGGTTAATGTGGCTGGCAGGTGTGGGAGAGAAGAGCGGCTGCAAGGCTGACACTGATGCACAGATGGACACTCTGCGATGGTGGAAGAGGGAAGATGATCACTGAAAATACTAGAGACCACGAGCCACAGGAGCTCTGCTGGGAGTTTGGCCACTAATACTCACAGAACCGATTTCTTCTTGGTCTCCTTTTGGCCTGGGGAACAGGACATCTTGGCCACAAGCAGGAACATGACCCCATTCATCTGAAAGTGTTGGCACTGATTAGAAGCTGTGCCAAAGGCTGGCTCTGACCTGACAACCCCATCGCAGAACGTGGGCAGACTCCAGGTCCACCAGGCCCATGCGAACGTCCCCTCCTTTCCCCTTCATGCCCAAGCCATGGCCTCCCCCAAGTTTGGCTGGAGCAAGGAGGAACAGAGAGAGGGCCTCTAACTGAGGAAGGAGAATACAGAGAAGGGGGCAGGCAGTGCACAGCCGAGGAAGGGGCAAGTGCCCATGGTGCGGAGAAGGGAGGCAGGAGAGGGCTGTGGGTGAAACAGGACAGGGTTTTACCACAATGACGACAGTAATGGGGCCTGCAAAGCTCCAGACCAGCTTATCATGAATGGAAATCCAGCAGAAGTCGGGGTTCCCGTAGCCCTCAGGATCCAGGCCAACGGCCAGCCCTGCAGGAGGAAGGGAGAGGTCAGGTCCAGACCCAGCAGCCTTGGACTTGCCCAAGCCATGTTGATCTCATCCCAGCACTGAAGGCCATGAAGGGGCTCTCTCACTGCTCCTTGCCCTGTGCACAGGCTTCCCTGCCACAGGGGAAAGAGCCAGGACTGCGAGCCCCAGCATCAGGGACTTTATTTCCTTTTATCCAGGCATCCCTGACACAGCTCAGCCCAGCAGGTATTCACTGCCAGTAACAGATCACCCAAGTGTGCAGGCTTGGGAAACCAGGAGACCCCAGCCCTGGGACAGCAGGAGTCCTGTGCCCATCAAACAAGCCATGGGGAGATGCGCTGAGGAATTACTTCTCTCCAGGAGGCAGGACGACAGCCCTTGATACGTGGTTCCCAGCTGACCACCACAGCACTGCTCACTGCCGGCACTACTGGCCGTGGCAAGCCCACCCTCAGCTCTCCCCATTGAGTAAGTGAGCCAGGCAACACCAGGGGATCAGGAGGCTGCTGAGAACCAGCACTTTTGGCATAGCTGTAGGACAAGCAGCTCTTACCAGTGATGATGGCGGGCACTCCCCAGCCAATGGCATAGTAGAAACGCATGGCCCCAAAGTTGACATTGCGGGCTTCGGTCTGCATGCGGTAGATGTGGAGGCCCTGGACAAAGAGCCAGGCGAAGGTGGAGAGGAAGAAGCAGTGGAGAAGGATGGCAATCACAGTGCAAAGAAACTGGGGAGACAAAAGCCACTCAGAGATGGTCCCACTGTGCCAACTCTAACTGCATCATCCATGCCTTGGCCCCACCCGCAAGGTGTGCTTGTTCAAGCCCACAGACCTGGTTCTCGGTGTGGTTGATGCCCAGGAGAAAGAGCAGCTCAGAGAAGAAGAGGGTGACTGATATGTTGGAGTGGATGCTACGTGTGTTGGACTTGAGGCCTTTGAGGCAGGTCAGGAAGGAGAAGGTCAGCAGCAAAGCCAGCAAGGAGAGAGACACCAAGGAATAGGTGACAATTGCCAATGTCTCCAGGTCACCTTCCAGTTGCTGCAGCAGCAGAGAACCAAAGGCAAACAGTGGTGTTAGGGGGAGATGCAGGAAGCCTGCTGAGGTCTCAAACTCTGCTTGTGTCCCACAGGGAATTTTCTGCCTGTGACTGCTTATTCTGGGACCCAGTGGCTAACAGCCCGCCCCACACCATCCACAGCCCCGCAGGCTGAGGTTACCTCTCGGTGCGAGCTGTCCATTAGAACCCCAAAGGTGCCAAACTGGGAGCACTGGCAGTGGACGTGTGTGGTGTTTCGGTACACAAGCTCGCAGTCCCTGGCTGTCCAGAAGCCGGAGGGGTTGGTCCTGCAGCCACCAAAAAGCAGAGCGCACTTAGGAGAGAAGACAGATGAGTGTGGTGTGTGGGGAAGGAACCACAGAGAAGAGGGGGTGATCAGCAAGGCTTTTCTACCAGCAGATACAACTGCACTCCTACAGCTGGAGCACTGGAGCCAGAGCCCTGCAGGGACCCTGCTGTGCCCTCCCAGCAGGAACAAACCCCCTGGGAGAGGGCAGAAACCCCCACATCCCAGTGCTGCCCAAGCACACAGCCAGTCATGGCCAGAGAGACTCAGGGAACGAGGAGGTGCCTGGGGAAAGCAGCTCAAAGCGAGTAGTCCAGCTGTGCTTGACTCACAGGTTGGAGTGGTTCCACTGGACACAGAGAGGTTTGCTCCTGTTGGCTGTCTCCAGCAGGTGAAATTCCAGCACAAGAGGGGTGTCCAGGGGCCCCCGCAGGAAGGTGTGATTGCTGAACACAGACACGCTCACGATGGGGGAGTTCATCACGGGGTTCTTGGGGAGCCTGCAAGGAGCAACAGAGCTCTGCCATCACCGTGCCTGGCAGCTGCAGCCCTCTGGGGACTTCCTGGATGCCCTGCACTGACATCTCAGAAGGAACGGCTCTGCCCAGCCAGCACCATGGGGTCAGGAAACATGGGGCAGAGCAATGCCAAGGTGGGGAACAGGCAGAGCACCGCAGGACCACCTGGCTGGGAACCAAACCCAAGGTGTTGCTGACAGACTCAGCAACTGCCGGAGGGGGCAGAGCGGAGTCCAGCCAGCCTCTCTCCACTGGTGCTTGTGGAGGGCAAAGGGAAGGAGGACGTACCTGACGCTGCGGCGATCCACCTGGTAGCGTGCAGGCAGCAGCCCTCCCAGGGTGCGGTACATGATGAGGATGATCACAGTGAGAGCGGGCTCGGGCTCTGGCAGCACCTGCCTCGGGGAGTTCTCCACAGTGTAGTTCCCTTCGCCTCCAGCCGGTGTAGGCACCACCGTGGGGGCAGCTGAGGCACACAACAGCATGGTGAGAACACACACGCTGCTCTGAAGGCAGCCTGTGAGCCCACCAGGAGCCTTTGGGATATCGTGAAATCAGAAGCTCTGAGCTCTCAGTGGTGACTTGTGGACCTCTCAGAGAGTCAAGTCTCAGCAAGGACACATCTTCCTTTCCACACCCACCCACGCTGTTCCCCAAGTGATGCTCACATGCTCACCTTCAGCTTTTGGGGGGCTCAGCACCGACAGTGGCAGCACAACATGGGTGTGGGGGTCCCAGGCAGGCTGGCCCCGAAAGAGGCTGCTGTGGTAGCGAGGGTAGCGCCGGCGGATATGGGAGTGGTTCTCCATGCGATCGATGCTCAGCACTGCGGAGAACCAAGGGAGTGAAAGTCAGCTCTAGGATGGCCACCTGGAGAGCAACCATGCTCCAGGGCACCCCAGGTTTGAAGTCACTGGCAAAGGGACCATACGAGCCACAGGCAGGCTTGGTTGCGGATATGTCCTGTGTTTGGGCATGACATGAGATCCAGCACCCACAGTGCTCCTTCCCAGCCCAGATCCTTGCTCTGCCATAGGGCAAACTACTCCTGCCACTGAGGCCAGCAGCTTTCCCACTAGAGACTGGGAGGTAACTGGGAGCGGGCAGCACACTCCTGGCTCTGCTGGCTCTTGGCTGCGTGTCATCTCCAGGCAGGGATGGGACCAGGATGTCTCTCACAAACACCTCCCAATGTTTGAGAGCCACCAAGAACATTATCAGCATCCTCGCTGAGGTGAAGTGAGATGAGCAGAACAGGACAGGGTGTGATGGAGGAGTGGCTCTGCACCACCGCAGCCAGGCCCCACCACCAGCCAGCTCCTACTCACTGATGTTGGGGGTGACGACACCAACGGGGTTGAGGTAGGTAAGTTTCATGTTGCTGGCCAGCGTGCCCGAGTAGTCCCGCAGCTGCTCCATGAGGCTGGCACTGCCGTGCTCACTGTGTGGCAACATGGCCCAGTGCTCCCGGTTCTCGGGTGCCAGCACGGAGCTGCCTGCGCGCAGAAGGTTCTGCATGGGAGAGACATGAGGGCAGGGGGTGAGGGAAGCACTGCCTTTGGGCCCCGTCCTGACCACCCCAAGGCTGCAGCATTGTGCTCTGTGCCCAGTTGCTGCACAAGTGTTTGGGGAAGAGGGGTACTTTTTGCTACAACAGGCCCCCACCCTCAATGCTCATCAGTCAGCGTCCTGCATAGACATATTCCCTGCACCCCTGCCATGAGGGAATGGCAGGCAGCAATAAGAGCTCTCTTTGTCTTCCCTCCCCCAGGCTGAGCAAACCCAGCTCTCTGCCTCTCCTCATCCACCCTGAGCTCCAGCCCTGACCACGCAGGCAGCCTTGACAGGTCTCACTCCTGTGGATCAATGTCTGTGTGGCACTGGGGAGCCCAGTGCTCCTGATGTGGTCTCACAACATCCTCGATCCCCTCAGGGACTCAGGGTGGCTGATAAAGAGAAGCAGCATCAGAAGCCACCCTGATCTGGGGGAAGGACTCACCTCATTGAAGTGGGCATCCTGTGTGGCTGTCAGGCCAAAGCCACGCTGCCGGCTCTCAAAGGCCATGAGGCGGGATAGCAGGCGGAAAGCGATGTGCACGTCATTGCCAAAGTAGTGGTCCATGCGGTCTGTCACAGCCCGGAGCCGGTGGGCCAGCTTCTTGGCTTCAATTGTGTTGAGCTCAGTCTCGTTCCTCTCCAAGCCCTCTAGCTGCCAGTGGGGAGAAAGGAGGGGATTAAAAAATTAAGCAGTTCCTCCCTGGGAAACTGGGATGCTGCAGGCCCTGAGATGATTTCTGAAACCATGGCACAAGCCAGGGACGCTCGCAGTGGTGGTCACTAGAACAGGGAGCATCTCTGGCAGACAAACAGCCTCCAGCAACACATCAGGAGCTGCACTGGGCCAAGCCCAGCTAACCCAGTATCATACATGACCGAAGCCAAGAAAATGAAAGGACAGGGCAAGCATCTAGCGATACTTCCCTGGAAACTCTCCTGGCTTCAGTTACAGTTCAGCCTTGGTGGGATGCAAGCATTTAATAAAAACTTGCCTGCATACTTCAGAAGGATTTGCCACTGAAGGGTCTGGGGGCTACAGGTGTCCCATGGGGCAGACATCCTGCCAGATTCAAACAGTTCAGCCCTGCCCAGGATTACTTGTTTTCCTCTCAAATACTGGGGCAGGACACAGGTCATTTCTCATGGGGACACTCAAGAGATGAGAGGAAACCGAAGTGAACTTCAGTTCAGACCAATGCTCCCACGGGATGGGTTTGGGGGCAGGAGATCGGAAG